GGATTTTTGTAGCATTCTAGAGGAGATGTGGCCCGAACTGAACCCTAAATTAGCTCAATAAGTAAACTCTGTGGAGAAAATCTAGAGGAATCTTTGTAGGATGTGTTTCCAAAATAGTACCCTAGATCAGGGGTGTCAAATTCAGCTCCTGGAGGGCAATGTCCTGCAGAGTTTAGCTCCAACCCTAATTAAACACACCTGAACCAGTTAATCAAGGTCTTCGGGATTACTCGAAACTTCCAGGCAGGTGTTTTGGAGCTACACTCTGCAGGACAGTGGCCCTCCAGGACCAGAGTTTGACATGTGTTGTAGATTACACTACAGAGGTTTCCTTTTTAACCTAGATGACTCTTTGCAGAATCGTAGAAGATTTGTGGGTGAAACTAAACCCTTCATTAACTCAAAAAGGAAACCGCTGTAAAGATATCTAGAAGAATCTTTGTAGTGTTCTGGAGAACTTGTTGGAAAACTGAACCCTAGTTAAAAGAACCCAAACCAAAGCACTATGGAGAACTGTGGGTTTCTGTGTTATCCTAGTTTAGGGCTCTTTGACCTGTTCTAAGATACTGAGGTATGCATCCGCATATGACTAATAAGGTTTCTTTGTTGTGTAAATTTCCCACCACAGACCTGGCACTCATACGGTTTCTCCCCTGAATGGACACGCATGTGCTCAGTGAGGCGGTACTGCCTGGTGAAGCGCATGCCACACTCCTCACACGCAAATGGCTTTAGACCGAGGTGGCTGCGCATGTGGCGGGTCATAGTGCCACGCTGCGTGAACATCTTGCCGCAAATGTTGCAAGGGAAGGGACGCACGGTGTCGACATCTTTGAGGGACTTTAACGGACTTTGATCCAGGCTTTCGGGAGCTTCCGGCGAGACTCTGGTGACTCCAGTGTCTCCATCACGTTCCTCTTCCTCCTCATCCTCAACCTTCACATCCAGATCTTCATCCAAATGGCTTTCCACATGGGATTTAAGACTTTCCGAGGAGGGAAAACCCTTTTCGCATGGGATACAAACGTATGGGTTGTCCCCTTCAGCTTCTTTGAGAAAGGTCTCCTTTTGATAAACAAAATTGGTGCTGCCATTGTTTGGTTTTTGGCCGTCAATTTCATCTGTTTTCCCTCCAATTCCTTTCTCTTTCTTTACAGACAACTGTAAAGTGAAGGTCTGATTCTGGCTTGACTGACTTCCAGCCCTGCTAAGAGGAATGTAACCATTGACCTTAGATTTTCTTCGGGATCCCTCCCTTTTTCTTTCCTGAGCTCCGTCCAAAGGAATTATCCACTTCTCTTCCTTTGGAACACACTTCCCATTTATTCCCAGCTGCATATTGTTGGAGATGGGTCTAGATAGAAAAACTCCGTCGTTACCTGTTGTCTCAGAATTTGAATTTTTCTTAGACAAATCCAACCCCAAGTCCTGCTTTTTCCTCGAAATGCATCTACTTTCAGCATTATGCCGTTTTTTGGGGGGCGTCATACACGTGTATGTTTCAGTGTCTGATGAGTGGTCTTCATACAGGCGAACTGAAGATTTGGAGCTTCCACGAGCCACGCTATTGAGGGACCCATTTTGGTTGATCTTACTGGAGCACAGGTTTGCGAGGTCATTGAGCTGGAGAAAGTTAGCTGTGGTGAGCAGAGAGCTTAAATCCACACCCTCAAAGGTCTCATCTGCCAACTTGCCGGTGTAAATGAAATCCAGAATTTGCTGGAAAACAACTGAATCCACCATGTCAGGGTCAAGGTGGATGAGGTTATCGTGAAGGACAAGGGACTTGAAGTAGTGGCTGGTGGCGGCGAGGACACTTTTGTGGGCCCGGAAGAGCGTGTTCTCGACCATGATGATGACATCGCACAGGAAGCCTTTGGAGCGCTGCTGATTGAGCTGGAGAAGCAGTTGACTGGCGTAGTTTGGGAGCTCCATCGCCTACCCTTGATGCTTTGCATTGGTGTCACTGTAAGAAAGGACGGCTAGATGTTATTTTGATGTGACACAAACCCTCAAGGATAATCGCTAATATCTGCATTGTTTTAACAAACAAACAAAAAACGGGATGAAAAAAAAACAAACCTTTATGCCAACGTTTTTACTGATAAAGTGCTTAGATTCCTTGTTGTCGTCATATGTCATAATTATAAAGTCACAATCAATAAATAATTGTGTCAATGTTATAACGTCAATTGAGTTCAAAAGTGATTTCTATTGAGTTCTATAATACATCAGTACTTAAACGTTGATTTGAAGCAAAAGAGTATGACAACTTAAAAATGAAAAAAACTAAAATGTATTGATAAAAAAGCAAAGAGAAAAAAAAAATATATAGCATTTATATCAACATCATAAAATACACAAAATACAATCCAAAAAACTACAAACAAAATAAACATTACATTACAACAGGGTTTCCCAAACTGGGCTTGATGTAAGAACTGTAGTGGGCTTGTGAATTGAAAAAAAAAGCTAATAATGAAAATGTAAAATAAAACTAATTTAAACACTTGAACAATAAAAATATATATATATTTGTTTACTTGCATGTTAACGTGACCATTAACCGGCATCAGATAACTGTAAACATGCAGATATGTTGTTAAATTATTTGAAGTATTAACTTCCACAAAACAAAAAACGTTTGGGAATCCCTGCATTATATGAACAAACATTAATAAACATGAAGACAGTGACATGCCCAAAGTCTTCCAGGTCGGAAATATTTTTGTCCTGACTTCTAGAATCAACAGTTACTGGAGGTCACACGATATGATGAAGACAGTGTTTCATAGCTATACATCACCAGTGTTTAGTAACTTGCATCATTATTTGTTTCATACATGGTCTAATAGCTTGAGATGTGCTTTTCCCCCTTCAAATTCAGAAGCATGGTTTGCTAATTTATTTACACAACATTTGTGAATAGTCAAAGCTTAATTATATGATAAAGTAGGATTTTTAGAAAGGAAAATGAAAAAAAAAGAAAGAAGAATAATTAAGGAGCATCAATAAATAATCAATAATTTACTGCCATTGTGTGAATAATATGTAATCCATAAAAAAGTAACTGTAATTTGATGGCGCATGTAATATACTCTAGTAACTACTCTAGTAGTAACTGTAATTACAAGTACTTACTTTTTGGAATCTGATTATGTAATCCGGATTACATGTAATCAGTTGCTACCCAGCACTTTTTACACAATGAGTAGTTTCGGAGTGTATAGTAACCAACTATGATTGATTACAATGCATGTAAATGCTACTGATTAAAAAAATCTCAACGAATAACAAACAATGAATGAGATTTTTACTTTTGCACGCTACTGTGGTCTTGAAGTTCACACAAGAAGTGATTCGAAGGCATTAAAAGCGTCCCTTACCAAAAAACGTAACCACATATTTTGATACTCGCTCAAGTTATTGTTACTACAATAAAACATCTGTAACTTCTTATCAGAAAAGTCATCCAAAAAAAACTAACAATTAAACAAAATGAAATCGATTCCTAAAGCGTTCAGTTTATTATGATTTTACAGTATTGGCAAAAACTGCATAAACCACAGCATTTCAGCAGAAGCTCTGGTTCGATGGTATTTTTTTTAAGACATTGGCACAATAGTCATAATTACAGTACAATAACAACCATCGCCCGTTTTTCGGTTTCTTATTGTGTTTTACTGAGCCTCAAACAACAACAATGTTGAACAAATAATGACTACGAGTTACAGATTAACAGTTTAAGATCCTGAAGACCGAATGCGCATGTGCTAATTAATTAGGGCTGGTCTTTGATCAAGATTGCGAAACGACACGCGTTTTAAAAATGTGTTTTGGTTTAATTTCAAAATGTTAGCAAAATTAAAACCAACATTTGCTCGTCGAAAACAGCACGTCCGCGAACAACCCCCGCCTGGGTTTGGGGTAACGTTAAATATACACGTATCTGTCTTTATAAATGCGGAACCGCGGACACTGAGCGTTTATAGACGTGTAAATCACACATTTATTGTTTTATACTCTCTACCACGCCTGAATCCGACGATATGGATGTCTGCTAAGAGGTAAACAATGAACAATTTAAAAGATCGTTTAAAATAAAAACAACAGGAAATGATACCTTAGGTAAGCGTACCACGAAGCGCATTTAAAGCCGTTGCTGTTGTTGTTATAATAATCACCATCAGTTCCTCAGTTCAACAACGCGCCGATGTTTATATCATAGTTATATGCGACACATATAAACAAACACATATACACTGTATTTTCAAATACCTTGTAAACAAGGGCAGGGGTCCTCGCTTCTCCCGTCGTCATCAAAACGCCATCTTAGGAGCTTGTGACGTAGGCAGTGTGACCCCTGACCCAGTCGAGATCAGTCTCACCCGGTACCTGTCCTGCTGGAGCTGTTACCATAGTATTACCTCAGGTGACTAACCCTAAGGCTGGGTAATACTCTATACTGATAGGCGACAAGAAATAGTTGTATAATAGAGTAGCCTACAATATAAAAAAAAGAACTGAGTTAAACTGTGTCAGAAAAAATTCATCTTGATAATGCCAGATAACTTTGATAGAAAGGTATGTAATGAATTCGGTTGAAAAGCTGTCAGCTGTTAAATTTAAGTACACAATTAGATAATACCAAATTAGGTCAAACAATTACCAAGCAATGCTTCATTTTGTTCAGTCTGTGGTGTAAAAATGCGAATTAGCAATTAAAGAAAAAACACTTAAGCAAAACATGGTCAGGTTAAAGTGTCTGCATGAAGAATTTTTGGGTATAATATGTCAGTTTACTTTATTTTGCTATCCTCGTTTGCATAATTGAACTATAGTGTCCTGCACCCACTAGTAAACAAATATCTAAAACTATATCTGCTGTCTGAATAATTTTTGGTTTGACTGTACTTTCTAAAATGACAACATATTGAAATGAAATTGTATAAAAATGCATTTATTAAATGCAACTAACTGGTTACAGTGTATTTGCCGTAAAGCATAAATATAACAGCATAATAAAAGGATGTGTAGTATATTATGCAAATGCATTATCAGATGTGTTATGGAGAAGTATTTCATAACTAAAAACTTTCATTTCACAACACTTAAAACAACGTAAGCACAACTTCATAGTAGCAACTGCACACGCAAATGCGGTGTGCCTTCATTTTAATCCATTTTAATGTATGTGTGTGTCGTTTGTATGATGGTCGGATCTGGAAACGGTTGAGGAAGAGAGGGTTAGAGGACCGTGGCTTGCTGGATCGCTTCAATCCATCTATAGGAGAAAAATGATTGTGACGTTTAAATGGCAAAAATATCAACAACATGGAGTGTTTCAAATGTATTTTATATTACACTCGCCTGTCACAGATCTGGCTGTCGCTCGCTCTGAAGATGTAGTACAGAGTGTCTTTGTGATAAAGTTTAAAATGCAGGGAAGATTCGGGTTTCTCTGTTCGGACAGAAAATCCCAGAAGAGGTTGACTTTCCAAAGCTGCTACGTCCTGGATACAATAAATAAAAGTAGTGTAAAAATGCAATATAAATAAAAATGTATAATAGTGTATAAAATATATTTATCAAATGCAATGAGCTGCCTGGTTACATATAAATAATACTGGATAAATACTAAAATATGTGCTTGTAAACCAGAAATATTACTGCATAATTTGTACTGCAAAAAATAAATACAATGAAAAAAAAAAATGAAATTAAAATAAAAAAAATGAAATTTACCTTTATCTTTTAACGAGAACAAAAAATGATACTATAAAAACATAAAAAATAGCATCTATAGAACTGCTCTCTCGTGTGCTGATGACAGAAACCCCAACGCATTAACACACGATTGCCCTCATTTACACATCAATGGCTATTTCTGTTTAGAAACTAAACCCACCCAGTCACTATCACTGATACTATCACTCCAAAACAGCAGAGGCTCCAGCAATACACTCTTAAAAATAAAGGTGCTTCAAAAGGTTCTTCACAGCGATGCCATAGAAGAACCATTTTTGGGTCCACAAAGAACCATTCAGTCAAAGGTTCTTTAAAGAACCATCTCTTTCTTACCTTTTTATAATCTGAAGCAGGGGCGTAGATTACGCGGGGGACGTGTCCCCCCCCACTTTTAATATCACGTAAATTCGTCCCCCGCACTTTTTCGGGCAAGTGTGTTCGCATAGAGGTTTTCAAGAGCCGGCGTGAATAAATATAGATTTAAATTCAAAGAGACAGGATAATGTAATTATTATTATTATTTTTTTATATATATAACATTTCTGTCCCCCTCACTTCTGAAATGATGGCTACGCCCCTGATCTGAAGAACCTTCAGATATTAAAGGTTCTTTATGGAACCATTTAGACAAAAAGGTCCTTCTATGGCATCGTGAAGCACCTTTATTTTTAAGAGTGTAAGAGTAGCATTTACCTCCTGATCATTTCAAACTGACTCCAAAGTCTGCATAAAACTAAAGATGGACACTCTTTACTTAATTTAAATGGCCCCGTTTATATATTCTCACCTCACTGGCAGCGTAAGTGTACAGAACTTTGTTCATGATGACAAACCAGAACCGCTTCCACTGTTTTCTGTTGGCCTTCGTCCTCTCCAGGTAGCCGCTCATCGAGGACCCGTCTGTGTTAGCTGAAACCTAAAATAAATGAAGGGATTACATTTACTGACATGTACTTTCTGAGAAAGTGTATTTTGCTCATCAAGGCAGCATTTATTTGACCAAAAATCCAGCAAAAGCAGTAATATTGTGAAATTTGATTGCAATTTAAAATAGCTGAATTCTATTTGAATATATTTTTAATTGTAATTTATTGCTGTGATCAAAGCTGAATTTTCAGCATCATTACTCCAGTCTTCAGTGTCACATGACCAGCTCAAGAAACATTTCTGATTATTGTCAAAAACAGTGCTGCTTTATATTTTTGTGGAAACGTTCTCAGGATTTAGAGTATTTACTTGAAATGCAAATTGTTTGTAACATTATAATCAGTGTTGGGGAAAGTTCCCTTTTTTTAAAGTAATGCATTATAATATTGTGTTACTCCTTAAAAAAAAAAAAAGCTTGTTTGCTTTTAATATAAAAAGTTGTATTTTTGGCAAATGTAAAGGCCCTTTCACACCAAAAGTGAAATGAATATTAGTTAGCCCCGTTGTACCCTATATTAATTATGTATATATAAATACACACACATACATGTATATATTTAAGAAAAATTCACCTCTTTAAGGGCTGCTGGTATTTTCTTCTGCTTTCTGAAGGGAAAGGCACCGGGCGACTTGCCAGTAGGTGACAGAGGTGAATTACTGGGTACTTGGTCACCTAATATTAGTAATAACACACACATAAACACACGCTCTTATTACAAATCAATATATAGGTAGAGGCTTCAAGCAGACAGTTTCTGTGCGAGTGTGTTTGTGTCATGAACCTGAACTATTTTGCTGCAAAGCGGAGAAGCAGAGATCACAAACTCGCGCGAGGTGATTCTTCAGATATTTCAGCGGCTGTTTGTTAGTTGAACAGGCCTGACACACAACCTACATGCCAAGAGAAAAGAATGCATGCATAAGCACACGCAAACATCATGCAGTGAACAATTACATGACAGATAGACTGAAAGAAATCTGGTGCATCAGGAAATTAAAAATATATATATTTTGAAAATTTAAAAAACATCTGCCAAGTTCATGTTGGTTCTGAAAACTTTTACACAGCTTTTAACAATAGTTTAAACTTAATGGTTCTTAAAATGTCAACTAGAGATTCTATTAAGTAAAATAGTATTAATTCCTTATTAATTCCTTACCATCCTTAAATATTTTCTTAAATTTATGTAAGGTAAAAAGTATTTAAGTAATATGAATATAATAATTTTAATATGAATCAATAGTTCATAAATACTATATACTGTATATGATTAAGACAGTTGTATCACATTGACATTTTTACTTTTTAGAAGCTTATGGTTTAAAGATTAGATAGACAGACAGATAGATAGACAGACACAGACAGGCAGACAGACAGACAGACACAGACAGGCAGGCAGGCAGACAGACAGAAAGACAGACAGACAAAGACAGGCAGACAGGCAAGCAGGCAGGAAG